CCATGAGGCCACCATGTAGAATTTCCCAATAAAATTAAAGCTTTTTAATTATTGTAATTTATAAACAAATAATGCAATAAACTAACAATTCTATGTAACTAGCACTGTCAAAAACCGAATCGAACGGGTGAAATCAAATTGTTTCAACCGATCTGAATGTGAACCAAACCTATTAAAAAATCGATTTTATGAAATCGAAAACCGACCCGAACCGCTTGTTAGTAAAACCAAAACCGAACCGATCCAAGTAAACAATAAACTGTTTAAGAACCGAACCAAATCTAAACCGAACTGAAAGGAAACCGAACCGAAAATGAACCGAACCGTTTCTAACCCGAAACCGTTTGAACTGGCATAAAAACCGTTTACACCGAACCGTTAACAAACTGCAACCCGTTTGCACCGAACCGTTTATAAACCGAACTGATTATAAACCGAACCGCTTATAACCAAACCGTTTATGAACCGAATCGCTTATAATTCGAACCGTTTACAAACCACTTCCTACTAGGAATGGTTATTGGGCGGGTCAGTGCGGGTCATTATCTCCTCAATTCATCCCTCGTTATTGTGACCTCAGTATGATGTCCACTATTAACTAAATGATCAAATAAGAAGCAGATAATAATCTGATAGTAAAACAATATTACATTAATGCACTAAACTTTTATAATCTAATTTGTAATAAACTAGTAAGATCAGTATGGCTAAACTGGAAACATAACATGATATGTATTTATAAAATTAATGAGGATTTGCATATAATATGATGCCTCAATATGAAGTGATGAAATCTCGGCTTGATATAAAACTTATTAACCAGCAAAAAGTTAGAAAGTAGTATAAAATTTCAAACCAAAATCGTTTAATTGCCAGAAGCCAAACGACTCGATAAAAAACCGATTTTTTGAAATAAAAAAACAGACCCGAACCGTAATTTAGTAAACCTGAAATAAAACCAATCCAAATAATGTTAAATCGTAGAAGAACCGAACCCGTTAACGAACCGAACCGAACTAAAATAAAACTGAACCAAAAAAGAAGCGAACCGTTTCTAACCCGAAACTGTTTTAACCAGAATAAAAACCGTTTACACCGAACCGTTAACAAACCGCAACCCGTCTGCACTGAACCGTTTACTACCCGAACCGTTTACAACCCGAACCGAATATAAAGCGGGATAAAAACCGTTTACACCGAACCGTTAACAAACCGCAACCCGTCTGCACTAAACCGTTTACTACCAGAACCGTTTACAACCTGAACCGAATTTAAACCGTTCAAGAATAAACCGAAACCGAATCGAACCGATAATTATTTAAACCGAACTGAAACCGACTCGTAAGACATTTGAACCGATTTCAAACCGACCTGATTTCAACCGAACCGAAACCGAACTATCAAACCGTTTTGACAGTACTGTATGTAACTACTCATGTGAAACTATGCAATAAACAAATAATATATGCCTTGTAATTCATGTTGCTAGGCTGTTGCTTTCTTTGTAACTAAATTGGTCGCCCAAAAGCTTCCCACCAATTTGTTCATGTTTTAAAACAAATTTGATACAGGCAAATGATTGGATTGCATGGCTACGTTGGATTTGGAAGGAAATCTGTTATGAAACAGATCCATGAATCACAATAACTAAAAATATTCTTATTCTCTTTTATTTGTCCTATTAGTGACTAAGCTTGGTTGTTAGAGTTTGTTATGAGTTGTAATTGGGCTGGATTTTCTGTTATTCTAGCTCTATAAATAGGCTGTAATAAGGAAGTTATAGATATACAAAAAATCACAGCATCTTCCCCCTCTATTCTTCTTCTTCTTCTTCTTCTTCTTCCTTCTCTTCTCTATTCTTCTTCTTCTCTGTTCTATTCTATTTCATTTCTGTTACTCTACATCATTAGAGCTGCTCCATTGTTGAATGACCAAAGATTTACTCAAATAAAATTCTATAAATAGTAGCCCCTATATCAAAATTAAATATTCAAGCTTTATAATTGACTACATGTTTAGATAAATAGTACAATAAACAAATGTATATGAGCAGTACATTTAGAACTATAAAAGTAACAACATCATTGGAGGGGATTGGCAAAAGATGTGAGCAATTTTGTGAGGCACTGCACTATTTGTCAGTCCTCTAAGTATGAGACTACTTCCAAACCAGGAAAACTCCAACCTCTCCCTATTCCCACTTTGGTGTGGACTGACATCTCCATGGATTTCATAACAGGGTTACCTACTTCAATGGGCAACAATGTGATATTTGTCGTGGTTGACAGGTTGAGCAAATATGCCCATTTTATGGCCCTCAAGCATCCTTTTTCTACGTTAGAGGTTTCTCAGGCCTACCTTGATAATGTGTTTAAGCTTCATGGGTGGCCTAGGAGTATTGTGAGTGACAGAGATTCTGTCTTTCTGAGTCAATTCTAGAAAGGATTGTTTTCTCTTCATGGTACCACTTTTCTGCTTTCCTCTTCATACCACCCTGAAACTGATGGGCAAACGGAGGTGGTCAATAGGTGTTTGGAGACCTATTTGCGGTGTATGTGCAGTGCTGAACCAAAGGAGTGGTGCAAATTTTTGCCTACAGCTGAATGGTGGTATAATACTCACTTCCATACAACCACAAAAACAACTCCATATGAGATTGTCTATAGTCAACCACCCCCTATACACTTACCCTACCTACCTGGGGAAAGCAACAATGAGGTTGTGGATAGGAGAATGCAGAAAAGAGAAGACATGATTGCTCTAATAAAACATAATTTGCAGATGGCTCAGAATAGAATGAAGACTCAAGCTGACAAAGGAAGGTCATAGAGGTTCTTTGCAGTAGGTGACTGGGTTTGGCTCAAACTCCAGCCCTATAGACAACATTCTGTTCAATTCCGGGGTAACAACAAACTGGCTGCAAAATTCTATGGCCATTTTCAAGTTATTCAGCAAATTGGCAAAGTTGCTTATAAGCTAAAACTCCCTTCTCGTGCTAGAATTCATGATGTCTTCCATGTTTCTCAATTGAAGCCTTTCTATGGAGAGTTGCCTGTTGTTGCTGTTACTCCAGAGTGGTAGATTTCCTCTCAGCCTCCTTCTAAGTTCCATGCTGCTGTGCTTGATACTCGAACTCAGGTGGTAAACAGCCTTCCTGAGGACCAATTACTCATCCATTAGGCCAATTCAGCAACACATGAGGCTACTTGGGTTGCAAAGGCCGATTTTACAGCTCAGTTCCTTGGTTTTCTTCCTTTGCCTTGAGGACAAGTCAGTTCTTGTGGGGGAGGGTATGATACAGGCAAATGATTGGATTGCATGGCTACGTTGGATTTGGAAGGAAATCTGTTATGAAACAGATTCATGAATCACAATAACTAAAAATATTCTTATTCTCTTTTATTTGTCCTATTAGTGACTAAGCTTGGTTGTTAGAGTTTGTTATGAGTTGTAATTGGGCTGGATTTTCTGCTATTCTAGCTCTATAAATAGGCTGTAATAAGGAAGTTATAGATATACAAAAAATCACAGCATCTTCCCCCTCTATTCTTCTTCTTCTTCTTCTTCTTCTTCCTTCTCTTCTCTATTCTTCTTCTTCTCTGTTCTATTCTATTTCATTTCTGTTACTCTACATCATTAGAGCTGCTCCATTGTTGAATGACCAAAGATTTACTCAAATAAAATTCTATAAATAGTAGCCCCTATATCAAAATTAAATATTCAAGCTTTATAATTGACTACATGTTTAGATAAATAGTACAATAAACAAATGTATATGAGCAGTACATTTAGAACTATAAAAGTAACAACATCAATTTCAACCCAAACATACAATAATTAAAAATTAGGGTTTTTCAATTTCTTTTTTTTTCTTTTTCTTTTTTTTAGCAATGCAGTGAATAAATAATTGGAAGTGAAAAAAAATGAAAGTAAACAATTGGAATTACATTTTTTGGGTTTCTGATTCGTGTTTCATTGCCCATATACGTTTTCCTTCGTCACTCATGCCATCAACGTTTTGCATCTTTGTACTTTTACCCAGATTCTTGCCTCGTTGAGTCGTTGTCAACCTTTTAGACTAACAATTATAGACCCACACTTCTCTTAATGAGAGTGAAAGAGAGAATCAATGACAGTGAAATGGAACTTCATTATTGTAGAGCTCTGTGTAACGGAAGAAAGTAATGGAGTATTGATGGTAATTGAATGGAAAAAGAAAGAGAGAAGGAAGGTCGGTGGGGTTTTTACTAAGAGGGCATAATTGTCATTTCACTCAGATTTTAGGAGGGAATAGCAAAAGTAGGGTCCAAAAGACGAAAAAGTTAACTATTCTGTAAGTTGGTGGTGCTAGTTGAAGTTTTTAAAAAACCTTCGAGGTTTAATTAAAATAAATAAATTCATGGGAGTATTTTTTTAAAAAGTTGCCACTTTAGTGGCTAACTTCCCTCAAAAATAAAATAAAAGTGTTCCCTCTAGGTTTTCTCAATGGGAAGGTTTTTGGTTCCCTCTAAGGTTTCTCCCTTGGGAGGATTTTTCTAACCTCCATTGCTAGTTTTTTTCTAATTTTTTGAAGGTTTTTCCTTCACTCTTCTCCTTTTCTCTCTTTCTCTTTCATCTCTTTTCTTTTGATCTCAATTGTAAATTTTTGTAGGGGATTCCACCGGTGTTTTTACCGGTGGTTAGCCCCAAAAACTTTTTAATTGCTTTCAATAAATGGATCTCATCTTTATGATGGTGTTTATTCTATTAAGTTTAATTTCTTTGTTTGTTCGTTTGCCAAAGATTGAAGATTTAGGGTTTTATAATCTCCTCCGAAGTATCTAAAAGGCCATATGAGTTTTTTCACCCAAACAACTATTCATCCGTGGATCTCAAGCCGAATTAGTGCTAACTCACAGATTATATTGATTCAGATAAACTTTTTTATTAAGCCGATCGTTGATCGAATTTGCAAAGTAACTAGCTCTAAAGTGATTTTGTACTTTTGTTGAAATTTTAGGTTTTCTAGGAATTGTTTGGAAGTGCCGTTTGACTATAATAAAATTGCAACTTTTTGGAGGTCCTTCACAAAACTTCCCCTATAAAAATGAAATTTTTCAAATTCCAAATCCCCCAACTGCATTTGCCCAAAGTCATTCTCTTACAGAAAACCCACATTTCATTACCGTTAATCTTTCTCACTCCCACACTCAAAATTCAAAAAATTATCGGCGACGATGATGATGAGAGAGAAGGGAAAGTTCATCTACAAAATATACAGAGCTCTAACCTTCTCTCTTACTCCATTAATCCGCCTCCATCTCCGATTTCGCAAATTCCGAGGTCTCGAACATTCTCTTCGATGGCCGGAGCGTCTCGGCCGCCCTTCTCTCAACCGCCCTCCTGGCCCACTTCTCTGGTTTCACGCCGTTTCTCTAGGTTTTCTCTCTCCTCTATTGTTGTTCAAAGAAGAATCAAACAATTTTTAATTGTAATTTTATTTGATTTATTTATTTATTTTTGGAGCGAATGAATAGGAGAAGGAATGGCGGCGATTCCGGTGATTCGACGTTGTTTGACAGAACGACCTGATATTAACATTCTTATGACTACTACTACACTTTCTGCATTGTAAGTTTCATTCAAACCCAATTTATGTTTTGCAGCTGCCAGAAAATCTTATTTCAGTTGTTTGTTGATAGTGAAATCTGATTTTGGTTATGAATTTAAGATTAATTTTCTGAATTTGGGTTGGAATTTTGTGTTTTTACTATATTTATTTGGAATTTCGGAGTCTAATTGGAATGAATTTGTTGAATTTTTTTAAGTCCCTTAATTTCGCTTACGGAGTATTAATTTTCTCAACTAATTAGTATTTTATTTTGTTTTGACATTTGCTCAATTAATAATAATGTATTACAAACTATAGAAATTGTTTGGAAATATACTAATACAACAAATAAAACTTAAAGTCATCATCTTTGCTTGATCTTGGTTGTTTGAAACTGAAACCATTTGCCTTCCAATAATTTTCTAGAAATGACAAAAGTATTGATCGTATTCCAAAGTCCAAAGAACTTCGGATACGAGTGGAAGGATGGGGATAAAAAGGTCACGGGTAAGAGTTCTTGGGATAAGATTGGAAGGATGGGGATAAAAAGGTCACGGGTAAAAATAGGACCTAAACTATTTAATTCAAACCCTTGGTCTAGAACCACAAGCAAAAAGGGGCTGGATGAAGGTGTGATCTAGGCCTATTAGCATAACAAGAGTCAACTTGGTAAACTCAAAATAGGAGAACACTTGTCTCTCCTTGAAGGAAGAGACTAAAGTGAACATGCTATGACCCCCCTACCAGAAAATTTTTGAAATTTGGTGATAGGTGATGAGAATTAGATGATATATAATGCTACCTCTTCTTCTTCAATATTGTACTCTATAGCATGTAAGGGCTAACTTTAAGGAGCTCATGTGATAAGGAGAGATTTAAATGTGTAATGAGAGCTCATATGCACATACACACACAAAAAAAAAAAAAAAAAATGACGGTGCTATAAACAAGAAACTTCAATACATAGAAATTTGCTATATTAAAAAAATGGAGGAAGTATTACAATCACTTTGGTAATCCCCATGTAACTTGCAAGTATATCTTAAAATTGGTAAAGTAACTTTACCCTTTTTTTTTTTTTTTTTTTTTTTTTTTTTTTTTTTTTTTTACTTTGAGAATACATGTGTTTGACCTGGCACAAATTACTTAAGCATATTCACTTTATTTTTTTTTGGCTTATTTAACTAAACATTAAGATTGAATTTGGTGCTTGCTTGTGTTGTAGTGAGGTTTTGAAACAAAAGCTCCCTCTAACCGTAATTTATCAGGTATATCTTTCTATTTATAATTTCATATGTGCTTTGGCATGTTTTAGATGGATGCCTTAAATAGTTGGGTTTTTCTTCTTCCAAAAATGCTAAAAGTGGATATTAAATACCGTCGAAAAGAAACTAGATGTGGAGAAGATATATATTTAACATCACCCATTGTTGCTTGATTTCTTTGATATGATGCATTACATGAAATGTTTTGACATATCTTAACTCTTGTTGGTAACTCAATACTAGTAACCTTTACTTTGGACAATTGTATGACTATAGGGCTTTTTTAAGTACAAGAAAAGTTTTTTAGGAGAAAAAGATAGAAGAGGATTGAACAAGTATTATTTAGATGCTTTTTTTCACCAACTTTGCAAAATGCAAATTACTAATAGCAAAACTTTGATGGGATTCAAGAGTCAAGACTCTAATATTCCGTAGTTTTTCTTAAAGTATTACTTCCTCCAATTTTCTTTTATTTGCAACTGTATAAACGGAAATTTATTAGTGTACTACATTAAACTAATAAACTTATTTGGGTTATATTCAAATCAATTTTAATTATTTAGGCCCACCCAAATAAATAATTCGAATTAATCAAATATTCTTTGGGTTATAAAAAAAAGTAAATGGATCAGGTTAAAAGGCTCCTAAGTCATAAAATGGGTGTTGCCAAACCTACTAAGTCCAATCAAGGGTTTCATATCTCTTATAAATACACCCTTTCTCCTTCTGAAGAATCTTGAAATCATTATTCTCAAGAGCTCATAAAACTCTATCAAGATTCCCTTTGAAATAATCAACAAGCACATCAAATTTGTGCCGACTTGATCAGATTTGAACAGGATTAAGCTTAATACGCCCTCGCTCATGTGCATTCAAACAAACTCCCCTGACATCACCCACGTCACCCTGCATTCAAATTTAGATCGACGTCATTAAACGTTATCCTATAGGTGCTAGACTCATGTCATCATCAATTCGCGGAACAAAATCAGAGGATTTAGTTTATTACATTGTAAACTGCTATATAGAGTCGATACCTTATTCAAATATCTAAATTTATTTTTTACTTTATTCCCATCTTTATTTATCTAGACGTGAAATTATGTAAATAAATTTTAGCACGCTTGGTGGGACTATCTCCGCTTCTTATCCTGAGAAATGGCCTCTAAGAACATTGTCGCTGCAAATACACCAGCTAGAACTCAACAAAGGGCCGCTTGGCTGAAATGCTCAACAACCATATTGGGGGCACCTTCACTGAGGAATGAAGAAAGTTGTTGTTGACTCTGCTGCTACAGGCTTGCGTGCCTTGTCAATCCCTACTAAAGCACAAAAATGTCATGCTCGTCCTGTTTCTATGAGGTTGGTCACGTCCTCCACTTATAGGCCGCATGAGAATCTTGTGTTTGGTTCATTCGCTCTTGTTGAACACGGGCAACCAACATTTGCTTCACTCAAACGCTGTGCGAGTCAGACAGGCTTGTCATCCACACAAACCTAGCGAGCCATTGTTGCAGACCTTACAGTTATGGTGTCGCATGCTAAGACTATTGAAGAACAACTTGTTGAAATGAACAACCTCCTACAACAACTGCAGAAGGATGGAGAGGAAAAAGATGCTCAAATCATGCATTAAAATGAACAAATTGTTGCTTTGACAAAGAAATTTGACAAGCAACAGGTCAGGAGTTAGAACATGGCGAGACTAAAAGCGATGGTTGTTCACAGGGTAGTAGTAACTCAAAGGGACCAAAGCCAAATGGGCCTCACACTTTAATAACTGCTCAACAAGATCAAGATATGATAGCCAAGGCCGTCTAAGAATCAACTTGGAGGGGGAGGTTCTCACAATAATCGACGTTATGTGAAGCCTTACACTACGATAATAGATGAATTGAAATTGCCATACAAATACTTTTTGATGGAAGGTAACCCCAAACAACATGTCGCTCACTTCATGGAGACGTACAACAATGGTGGTATCATGGGTTACTTGCTTGTTAAACCATTCGCCCGTTCTTTTAAGGGAATCGCATCTGACTGGTATACCAACCTAGATGCTGAATCCGTTGACAGTTGGGATCAAATGGAAATGGAGTTTTTGGGTTGATTCTTTAGCACTAAATGTGTCGTTAGCATGGTTGAGCTGATTCAAATCACATGATGGGCCAGTGCGCTGTAAGTTTGGAATGTAAAGGTTGTCCGACTGAAATCTCTACTATTGAAATGTGCATTAACGGGATGAATTGGAATTCACATTATATTTTAAAGGGCATCTAAGCCGAGATCCTTTCAGAAGTTAGTGTAACATCCCCAATTTCCAACTCTTTTATGAACGTGAGAGGCGTAAAAATAGGAGATTAGGAGTGCTACCGTCTCACTTAGACCACAAACCGAAGTGAGAAGGCTAAATTAAATGACTTCTTAACTAAATTTATTCCAGGAGTTTATAATTTTCATATTTAAGTCATAACTTTTAAAAGGAACTACTGACTAAACTTTATATGTGTTAGAGCTCTTGCAGTGGAAATATGGCTTCTACTAGATAATATGAAATATATACCTCACAAATAAGTAATATTTTTGGGATAGACAAACAACCACTATGAAGGAAATAATAAATATGAGAAAATAAACTTTCTTAATGTTATTAACCTTTTTGACGTGAAATAATGATTGAATTAATTTATCAACTTACAACCTATGCATTATATAATAACTTAATGCTAAGCAATGAATGGCTGAAACTATTTAAGTAAAGAAACAATATAACTTGTTTGCAAAATATACTCCTTTCATTTTGCCATCATACCTATTTTCCTTTCCTAGAAAATCTCTCTTTCTCTCACATTTTAGAAGAACAAATCATATGGTTAATAATAGCCATATACTCCCACAATTCTCCACCTCGTTCATAATTTGAAAACATTCAAATTTTGGACGAATGAATTTCAGTTTTCCGTATCCGATTGCACCATTTTTACAATGACTGCCTACTTATCCTCAACCAGGATCAAACCAATCGTAGTTCCATTTATTTCTCTACGTAACCTAACATGGGACAATGTTACGCAGTTCTAAACAATGTTGGAACTCGTTTCCTGATACAACTTTGGTTAACATGTATGCACTTTTATAAGAGAAATACTTCCTTTCTCTATGACATCCCGTACAAAATGATACCTTACATCTATATGTTTGGTACTAGCATGATAAACCTGGTTCTTGGCAAGTGAATAGCACTTTGGTTGTCATAGTCTAGATTCACATTATCATGCTTCATTCCCAAATCATCTAGAAGTTCCCGCAACCATAATGCTTCCTTAACTCCTTATGCCATAACCATATATTCGGCTTCTGTTGTAGATGGAGCCACTGTAGCCTATACATTGATCGCCAACTAACTGGAGCACCATGTATTTTAAACACATAACCAGTAGTAGATCGTCGTCTATCTAAATCTCCAGCATAATCCGAGTCAACAAAGCCGCTTTTTTGACATGTATCTCCACCAAAGCATAAACCTGTGTCAATAGTACATTAAAAGTACCGTGTAATCCATTTCACTACTTCCCAATGTGCTTTACCTGGGTTCGCCATAAACCTACTAAAAACATTGACTACTTGTGAAATATCTGGTCGTGTACACACCATGGCGTACATTAAACTACCAAGGTTCGAAAATGCGGTTTTGGTCGCGATTGTGAAAACGGTCACAGTAACTCGGTAACGGACTTGATGCGTTGGTTGCGGACTTCATCGCGGTTGTCGCGCAATAATTTTTATTTTATTTTATTTTATTTTTAAGTTTTATGTATTTTTATAAAGAATTTTCTCATAGTTTTTAAAAAATTATATTCTTGTATACTTTAATTAAAAAAATGGACTTTTCCTAAAAAAAATAAAAATAAAATAAAATATGGACTTAATTCTAGACTAAGCTGACTATAATAGTTGAAAAGGGGTTGGGGGTCACGTGGGAAAACAAAAAAAAAGACGAAGGGGAAGATAAGGGGTACTCAAGTGGGTCAGATAAAAATTAAAGAGGAACTAAAGAATATTCTAGGCATCCAACTGTCATACTTTATTACCCAACCACTCTAATTTTTTAAAAAATAGAAAATCTCTTTTATTTGATAGAAACAAAGTCGACTTTCATGGAGATTCCGTAAATCGTCGCCGGAAAAGTGGTTTTACAGCTTAAAGTTTGGGTTTTTTTCTTCGAATCTCTGTAAATAACGTTAGATGCGGCCGATTTTCTATTCAAAATGGTCATGTCGGCCGAAATCTCGAGGTTTGAAAAAGCAGCGTTACGAATCGGGAAATATCGGATTGGCAACTTTGAAATCCGTTACATCTCGGTCGATTCGCGATGTAACGGCTGAGTTTTTACACCATGCTACCAACTCCACTAGCATAAGGTACATTATCCATGTATGCCTTATCTTGTGCTGTAGTGGGAGATTGTTTACCAAAAAACTTAAAATGTGGAGCCAATGGAGTCATCACTGACTTAGCACCTTTCATCCCAAACTTTTCAATAACCCGCTGAATGTGGCCTTTTTGGCTGAAGAACAATTTTCGTCTTGATCTCTCTCTTCTAATCTCCATACCTAGTTTTTTCTTTGCAGCGCCCAAGACTTTAGTCTCGAACTCTTCATTGAGTTGAATTTTTAACCTATCGATCCCCACCTTGCTTTTTGAAGCAATAATCATGGCGTCTACATACAATAGAAGACAAATATAATCACCTCCACGAAGTTTACGAACGTATACATAACAATCGTAACTACTTCTGAACACCCTTGTTTTAACATAAAAGAATCAAATCGCTTGTACCAGTGTGTCGAGGAGATTGCTTCAATCCCTAAAGTAATTTCCTGAAGCGACATACCTGATTCTCTTTACCCTTAACGGTAAATCCCTCATGTAGATACATATAGATTTCCTCATCCAAGTCACCGTGTAAGAAGGCTGTCATCACATCTAGTTGTTTTAGCTCA